TACATCTCAGTTGTCCTCGTTTTTCAAGGACCGTAACTTCCCCTCCTTGGTGGTCGAGAACGCCCTCCACATCTCCCGCACCTCATCCCTCACAACCCGTCCATGCAATAAAAACCAAAAAAGAATCCCCCTCGTCCTCACGTACCACCCCACCAACCTCCGGATCCAACGCATCATCCTCCGACACTTCCGCCATCTGCAATCCGACCCCACCACCAAAGACATCTTTCCCTCCCCACCTTTATCTGCTTTCCGGAGGGACAACTCTCTCCGTGACTCCCTTGTCCGCTCCACACTCCCCTCCAGCTCCACCACACCCGGCACTTTTCCCTGCAACCGCAGGAAGTGCTACACCTGCCCCCATACCTCCTCCCTCACCCCCATCCCAGGCCCCAAGAAGACTTTCCACATCAAGCAGATGTTCACCTGCACATCTGCCAATGTGGTATACTGTATCCACTGTTCCAGATGTGGCCTCCTCTACATCGAGGAAACAAAGCAGACGCTTGGGAACCGCTTTGCGGAACACCTACACTTGGTTCACAACAAACAACTGCACCTCCCAGTCGCGAACCATTTCACCTCCCCTTCCCACTCCTTAGACGACATGTCCATCCTGGGCCTCCTGCAGTGCCACAACGATGCCACCCGAAGGTTGCAGGAACAGCAACTCATATTCCGCTTGGGAACCCTGCAGCCCAATGGTATCAATGTGGATTTCACAAGTTTCAAAATCTCCCCTCCCCCCACCGCATCCCAAAACCAGTCCAACTCGTCCCTGCCTCCCTAACCTGTTCTTCCTCCCACCTATCCCCTCCTCCCACCTCAAGCCGCACCTCCATCTCCTACCGACCAACCTCATCCCGCCCCCTTGACCTGTCCGTCCTCCCTGGACTGACCTATCCCCTTCCTAACTCCCTACCTACACTCACCTTTCCTGGCCCCACCCCCGCCTCTTCGACCTGTTTGTTTCTTCTCCACCTATCCTCTCCTCTATCCCTCTTCTATCCGCCTCCCACTCTCTCCCTATTTATTTCAAAACCCCCTTCCCCTCCCCCTTTTCTGATGAAGGGTCTAGGCCCGAAACGTCAGCCTCTCTGCTCCTATGATGCTGCTTGGCCTGCTGTGTTCATCCAGCCCTGCACCTTGTTGTCTCGGATTCTCCAGCATCTGCAGTTCCTACTATCTCTAGAGGACTCTATATTGTTTAGGGGTGTGGATGAGGGGAAAGGGATCTTAATTGGGCACTGTGTGGCCTAAAGAGAGCTCTCCTGTGTCAGTGGCCACCTCTGCAGCAACACTACCATCACCCCCACCTTCCTCAGAAACGAATACTTGTGGCACCTCCCTCAACGTGCCGCATTGCCTGATCCCGTTCCCATTTGCCTTGCTGACAGGGTGGTGCATATTGCTGTATACGTTTCTCGGCTAGCTGCAATCCTACTAGTGGCCATTGCTGCCAGTGGCATGGCTGACCCTGCTCAGTCCGCAGCTTCTGACAATCTTGAGGGTTAATCCCTTCAAAGGATGGGAGCCTGATGGCAGCTTATTTCCCGACTGATGGACCTGAAACTTGGCCGATGTTCTAACAAGTAGATTGACGGAGCTGTTCCAAACATCCACGCTCGTTATCATGAAGATTGCTATTCTGGTGTGTGGGCATACTTTGTGTTGTAACTGATAGTAGCATAAATTATCCAAAAATGAGGTAAAAGATGCATAATGATTGCAAATCAAATATGCCTGAGTTCTTAACTGGCTACAATGTCATAGTGTGATGCATGCACTGTAAAGGATAACATATTGGAAAAATATTTTTAATTCTATTAGGAATACTAAAAGTTATTTTAGAAACTTACATCTTTCCCAGGTGAGCCTGGCTGGCCTGGTGGCCCAGCAATTCCTGTTTCCCCCTGGAATGAAAGGATGGAAATCAGTTTTAAAGGTCTTGTACACATTCTTAATTCCTCTTTACATGTAGCTGCAAGAGGATTACCCATCATTTCAGCTCAGACTTGATCTAGGTCTATCAATCAATTATCGATGGCTAAAAAGTTATTTTTAAATCACCACTAACTTCCAATGTTGCAACTTCCAATGAGACAACAACACAAGATACTAGCACATTGAAGGACAGAATCAAAGGTTTTGGTATCGCTCCTGAGCTAGACCCTGCTATCAAACTGAGCCCCCTGAAGCCGTGGACCATATCGATGGACCCAGATATACACTTGGATGCCAGTCATTAATATTTTACTCAATGACAATTCATCAGAAGCAAGAAGTTATCTGAACTGCTTTTACTTATTTAGAACAAATATGTTGTCCATGAATTTCTGTAAGCTCAAGGGTATTAGTCAAAAACTTAATTCAACTTAAATTGAGCTGTTTAAACAGTTGGAAGAATTTTATTTTTGGGTTTAGCACTTCAAATTCTGACGTTGATATTGGAATTATGGGAAAGTATAATTTTAAGCACTTCATAGCATGTGCTGTCCTTGGAGAAGGCCCAGAGGAAAGTCACAAGAATGATCCTCCATCTTAAAGATACTGAATGACGTGACCTCCATGGTCCTCTGTGACAATGAGTTCCAAAGATTCACCGCCCTCTGGCTGAAGAAATTTTCCCCCATCTCAATTCTAAAGGGTCATCCCTTCACCCTGAGGCTGTGCCCTGGGTTCGTCTCCCCTACTCGTGGAAATATCTTTTCCACCTCCACTCTATCCAGGCCTTTCAGTATTTCATAAGTTTCAGTCAGATTCCCCCTCATCTTTCTAAACTCTATCAGGTACAGACCCAGAGTTCTCAACCAGTCCTCACATAACAAGCCCTTCATCCCTGGGATTATTCTTGTGGGCCTCTTCTTGACCCCTTCCAATGCCAGCACCTCCTTCATTAGATATGGGGCTCAAAACTGCTACAATATTCCAAATGTGGTCTGACTACAGCCTTATACAGAATCACCAGTACATCTTCCGCACTTGTATTCTAGCCGTCTCAAAATGAACGCTAACATTACATTTGCCTTCCTAACTGCCAAATGAAACTGTGTTAAAGTTAACTGTGTGTTAGCTTTAAGAGAATCCTAATCTAGGCCTCCTAAATCCTTTCGTGCTTCAGATTTCTGAAGCCTTTCCCCATTTAGAAAGTAGTCAATGCCTCTACGCTTCCACCAAATTACATACCCTCCACCTTTTCCCACATCGTATTCAGTCTGCCACTTCTTTGCCTGCTCTCCTAGCCTGTCCAAGTTATTCTGCAACCTTCCTGTTTCTTCAACATTACTTGCCCTTCCACCTATCTTTGTGTCATCTGCAAAATTAGCAACAATGCCTTCAGTTCCTTTGTCCAGATCATTAATGCATAACGTGAACATTCCATGTGTGAGTTGTTACTTGCAATCAACGTGTAAGATAACACCAAGAATTTAAATTTCAAATCAAGTAAACACTATAGTGTGACCAGAAAACAAGTCATGAACTATTGCTCTGTGAATTTCAGTTCAAAGATGGGTCATGTGAAAAATGGTATCCAATTGAGCAGCTGGCATGGGTGAATTTCACTGCCAGTAACCTAGCACTGAAACTTGCGGCGTTTCCTGAGTAATCTGTTGCCAATTGTCTAATTGCTATCCACTGACAGCCATTTGCCAAACCATTTTAATATATTGCCATCTTTTCTGTAGGCCTATATCTTATGCAGTTGCTTAGTAAATGAAATAAAGTTAAGAAACTTGCTGAGGTCTCACAAGATAGCATTCATTTTTTTCTGACAGAAAATCCGAAGAGAATTTCCACTCCATCATTCATTCAGGCTCAGTGGCTGCGCTTTCAAACATATTTGTACATGGTACGATAATAATATGCTAAAATTATAAACGCAGTGCTTAACAATGCCCCTTTGTATTTCAACCTTCTGCTTGATTGATATTTTCAATACTTACTCTTGGACCAATTGGGCCAGGAGCACCTTTAGAGCCTTTGAAGCCCTGTGTAAAAGAGAAGTATAAATCAATAATTCATACAGTTCACTTGATATAGAGATTGTTCCAAATATCTTTCATTTAAACATGGTGTGATATATAACTTTCAAATATTTTCCAACTTTCCCCCTGTGAAGACAAGTCAAAGGATTTGGTTATGATGGAAATCCTCAAGTGTTACAATCTAGAAATGTGCTGTTTATAATAAGCTGCTTAACTTTGTATTTAAAGTTAATATTCTAGTAATCTCTGATATCTGAATAGCTTTATTACTGTTATTTCAGTTCCACAAACTGCAAGCCGAGAACAACCCTGCCAACGACCATGTGTTTTCGAGTGCCCACTATCATCTCACAGTTTTTCTTAAATAATCTCAATAATGTCTATGGTAAGGAGTTTAAGCCCTTTTTATTTGCCTCCTTAGGTGTATAAGGATTTTCCCTGCCTTGCTTGGCTGAAGAATCAGCACACCTGAACACTGCATAGAGGAAGCACTGAGGATGGCAAGGGCATAGAATGTATGCTAGGTGGGGATTTCAGTGTCCATCACCAAAAGTTCCCCAGCAGCACCAACACTGACTGAGTTGGTTGAGTCCTAAAGGATATAAATGCTTGAATTAGTTTGTGGAGAGTGATTAAAGAACTGATAGAGGGAAAATAATTCTACTGAACCTTATCCACTCCAATTTATTTGTCCCAGATGCACCCTCCATGACAGTATCAGTAAGAGTGATGCGCAGTGGCAGCAGTGTGTACCATCTACAAGATACACTGCAGTAATACACAAAGGTGCGTCCGACAGCACTTTTTAAACCCACAAGCTCTACCTTCTCATAGGACAAGGGCAGCAGAAGCACAGGAACACCGTCCCCTGATGCACCATCCCTGAGTTGGAACTATATCATCATTCATTGAATAAAGTTAAATCTTGAAAGCTCCCTTTCTAACAGCTCTGTCGGTGCCCCTATACCCCAATAACCGCAGCAGTTTAAGAATGCAGCTCACCACCACCTCCCCAGGGGTATTTAGGGATGGGTGGTAAATGCTAATCTAGCTGGCAATACCCACATCCCACAAAGAAATAAACCAAAATGTCTCCTGGGCCACTAGCAACAGGTAGCTTTCCCATTCACATTCTGAATGAGGAACATATTAGTGCAGGCTTTTGGATCAGGAGACAATTGGGAAAATTAAAGGGAGTGCTGAATTGTGATAAGATTGAAATCATGTAGGTTTTTGATCACTTGCTCTACCTAAATGAGACCTTGTCCGATGTAATGCCATATAGCACATATGAATTTCAACAACACATTGCTATCCTTCAGCCAGCATTACATTAGTACTAATTACAAAAGAAAAATGATGATTCCCATCAATCCAGCATTACACAATTTGAATATGCCTATGCACATTGGTTTGAAAACTGGTCGAAACAAAGCAGAAAACTTGACTATAACAGACATGAAACATTAATGTTTTTTCTCTTCAGTGATGCTGGCAAATCTGTTGAATAGTTCCAGCGGTTTATGCTTCCTATTTCAGATTTCCAGCATCCACAGTGTTTTGCTTTTGTACTGCTCCGAAATATGTTACACACTATTAGAGATTCCATACTTACAGGCATTCCTTGGAGGCCACTCCTGCCAGGAGGCCCAGGGTTTCCCGGCCGGCCCTGAAATACAGAAGCCAAGGCTGTTGAATAACGTTTGCCAATGAAATAAAAACCCTCAAATGATTTCCCATTAAAATCAGATAGAACCCAAAACGTGATGTAAATTTCAACAGAACTTCAACTTCTGCGAATTACAAACACTTGAAAAGAATTTTGGCCATAGGATGACTTGCACTTAAATCATCAAGTGATTTTGTTTCCATTGTGCGATAATGAGTATACCCTATTTGTAGTTACTAACTGATTAGAATAAAAAGATTGTTTTAGTTTCTTACTGGTTCCCCTGCAGGTCCAGGTTTCCCGTCCTTTCCAGCTTTGCCAGTAAGACCCTGTGAATAAAACATTAGTTGACTTCTTAGTCATTCCAAGGCACAGAAATCTTCAACTACATTCCTCCTAGAGCTTGTTCACTAATTCCATACATGCGAAAATAAAATGCACCCAGTTGTTCATTGACAGCACTGCATGAATTAGCCCCTCACTGTTAAGATCCTAAAAAAAAATCACTTCATCCAGGAGCACATGCTTGATTGGGAGCAGTAGCTTGAAAAATCAGCAGATTTTGCAAAGACAGCAAAATTGGTTGGTTGAGAGGAGGAATGAGGATGTGATCACTAAGAGAAAAAGAAGCAGAGCTGAGGGACAGCAAGCAAGAAGAAATAAAGCAAAGAATATTTGAGTACCATCAGAGAACAGAGAGGAAGCTGAGGACTAGTGAAACAACGAAAGGTTAAGTTGACTGGAAAAGAATGAATAAAAGAGCACAAGAATTTTTGGAAGGAGAGACAAAGAAATTAGAGAGGAAACATTTTAGAATTAGTCAAGGGAGAGGCAGGTGGGTATTGCTGTGAGGGAGGTTTAGGCGATAGTGCTGACATTTTCCCCAAGCAACATTAGATTGAAAACTACTACTTACAGGTGGCCCTAATGGTCCAGGAGGTCCCAGATTTCCTCGAGCACCTTCCTTCCCCTGGAAATATCCACAGATTCAAGTGTTAACACTGTCCAGAATCCTTTTCTTTTTGTTAATGGATAATTATACTAAATGATTGGATTGTCTGTTCATTCACACTATCTCATTTCTTTCCAAGTAACACCCCACTTTAATTGTGTCTGCACCTTATATTTGTCAGAGATATATCATTGCTCGACTGAATAGGTTCTCAAACAATATCACTACTCACCTAAAATGATCATTTAAACTAGGCTGTCCTTAATTTCTAAAAGTTTTATAAATTATTTTCCTAAGTACGTGTACAATTGTTTGCATCCAATGTAACCCTGATTGTTGTTTGGGTGTGATTTGGATGGGTGAGTGGATGAAACGATGGGATCAGCATGATGCCTGATCCAGATTCAGGGTCAGACCTTAGCTGACTAATTATTCTGAGCGAGAAATGTCAGTTGGTCAATTTGCTGATTGAGCAAGGCAACCAGGAAATCGATGGTTGAGGACTTGAGTCTAGATTCAATATTAAAATGGCGTTTGGAGGAAATCTGGAGGGCACAGATTGATCAGCAATGGGTGGTACGATTTTAGCTTTCTTGTTCTGTCTGAACAAGAGTCATACCAGACTCGAAAAATTAACTTACTTTCTCTCTCCACAAATGCTGCTAGACCTGCTGAGTTTCTCCAGCATTCTGTGCGCTTATTTCAGATTTCCAGCAATCGTAGTATTTTGCTTTTATGCCTCTAGAGCCAGAAAGATCCCTTGTGCATTTTAAATAGCTTGACCATTAAAATGAAGCAGGCCTCTGGTAACATTTTCAATCTGCACTAACTGTGTCTTTGCATTGGAGGGTTAAATTTCCCTCCCATATCTCCACAACCAAAGTATTTGTTTTCTATTTACCAGCGCTGGATGGGACAATTGTAAATTTCCAGTTCTTCCTCAGTCATTTATTTAAAGAAACCTGACATAAACCAGTTATTTCTAATAATACTGCTTTTTCTCTTCGTTTATCCTTAACTCCTCCAAAGCATTCACATATGCTACTGGAATGGGAGGATGTCATGGTGTTCTCCACAGTCACAGGCAGTTTGGTTGAGCTTTGAATTTGCATGGGATTGGACTGTGATGAACTAGGTAGAACAGTGTTTCTCCTAAAATGTGCCACAAATCAGCCTAGGATTTGGAACAGGTCCATTCTTTTTTTCTGAAGTTTTCTCCTCCCCATCTAGTCAAATCCCTTTTCCGCTGTTATCCCCGCCTCTTCTTTTGCTACATTGGTAACTGTATCGGCACTGCTTCTTACTCCCACGAGGAGCCCGAATCATCAACTTTACTAACACCTTTCACCCTAACCTCAAATTCACCTGGACCATCTCCGATACCTCTCTTTCCTTCCTGGACCTCTCAGTCTCCATCTCTGGAAACTGCTTCAAAACTGATATCTATTTTAAGCCCACCAACTCCCATTGCTACCTAGACTACACCTCCTCTCACCCACCTTCCTGCAAGAATGCAATCCCCTACTCCTAATTCCACCGCCTCCACCACATCTGCTCCCAAGATGGAGCATTCTACTCCTGAACATTCAGATGTCCTCCTCTTTCAAGGACAGCGACCTCCTCCCTCTGGTGATCAAAAATGCCCTCAATTGAATCTCTTGCATTTCCAGCACTTCTGCCCTCAACCACCTTCCCCCCCAACAAAAATAAAGTCAGAATCCCCCTTGTCCTCAGATATCACCCCACTAATCTCCGCATCCAATGTATCATTCTTCGCCACTTCCGCCACCTACAATCCAACCCCACAACCAAAGAGATATTTCCCTCCCACTCCTATCTGCCTTTTGTAGGAACTGCTCTCTCCGTGACTCCCTCATCCGCTCCACACTCCCAACCAACCCCACCACATCTGGCACCTTTCCTTGCAACCGTGGGGAGTGCTACATCTGCCCCTACACCTCCACCCCTCACCTCCATCCAAGGCACCAAACAAACCTTTGTTTGGGTTCACCTGTACATCTGTCAACTTGGTCAACTGTATCCACTGCTCATGTGGCCTCCTCTACATTGGTGAGGCCAAACACAGACTCGGAGACCATTTCCTAGAGAGCATTTATGCTCTGTATGCGACAAACAACAACCAGTCACCAACCATTTTAACTTCCCCTCTTGCTCTCTGGTGACATGTCAATCCTGGGCCTCCTCCAGTGTCACAATCAGGCCACCCGCAAACTGGAGGAGCAGCACCTCATATTCAGCCATGGGAGCCTACAGCCTGATGGCCTAAACATGGAATTCACCAGTTTTAGAAATCTCTCCACCCCACCCTCATCCCATGTCCAACCCTCCCTCTCATCTCCGCCTCCTTGACCTGACACAACCTGTCCATCTTCTCTCCCATCTATCCGCCCACCCATCCCACTGACCAATCCCCACCACTCCCTACCTGCACTCACCTATCACCATCCCACTTACCTTCCCCAGCCCCACTCCTCCTCCCTCTATTTAGTTCCCAGCTCCCTCCCCCCTCCCCATTTCTGAAGAAGAGTCCCGAACCAAAACATCAACTTTCCTGCTCCTCTATGCTGCCTGGCCTGCTGTGCTCCTCCAGCTCCACACTGTGTTATCACAGGTAATCTTACCTTCTCTCCTCGCAGCCCTGGGGCACCAGATGATCCCGGAATGCCATCAGCTCCCTAAGGAATAATAAAACCGTGCTGCTGAGCTCATGCCCTTTATGTCATTTGTAAAGAGAGGTTTGGCTGCAGGTCCAAAGAAAAGTCTCAGCACAAACCTAATGTGTGTGTGACAGGTTTCAAATTTCACACTGAACCAATTCAGACACATGCAGTTAGATGTTTACCTATCCTCTAAAGACAGCCTGGGAGACTGCAGATCTTGTAAAATGACAGCAAAAGGCCTCAGAAGGGGGCAGGGGCACAGGATATTAACAGCCATGGGAGTGGTAGTAGTGGACTAGCCTGTTGACATGAGGTGTGTGGCTAACTGATTCGATGAACTGCCTGGGTAAGGCCCAATTCGCTCACACCATCCCAACCTCTTTATATCAGAGCCAAGAGGGGCTAGTGTCATGTGTCCAGGATGCCAGGGGTTCACACAGTGCCAATATGCTTGGCCTTCCTTTCATGCTGTTTCATATCCCCCCTCAGCACAGAGATGCCCTCTTCTTCTTGCAGTCTCAGTAGTGTTCACCTCTACTGATGATGCTTCTGAGACTTCTGGCCTTCTGATGACAGCTGGTGAGTGAGGGGTTGGGAGCGGGTAAGGCTGATATCCTCAATTTGACATTCATCCACCAACGGCCTCTTCATTGTCTGCTGTCAATAAAATATTGTACATGTTCCCATCATATACTTGGTCCCTCCCACTTTTGATCTTGGTGGCCAGACGACTGTGGCTTTGGGAAAATCCTATCCATGGCTTATACACAATGAACAATATAAACCATTAACATTGATCAGTTGTGACTCTGGTGAACATAATGTGAACATATATTAAGTTCAACCAGGGGGCATCGATCACCTTGTTAAGTACTCTTTTGAATGTATTTTAAAAGTTACTCTTATCTCTTCCTCACTTCTAGGATTTCAGCTCCTCCACTGGAGTGATGTTGTTACCACCTTGATATTCCTTTGATTAGTTAGTGTTTTTCATGTGTACAGTAGGCATCAATAGCCTGTACACCTCCTTGTTCTCAATTACTTTAACTTAATCATTTTAGTACTTTCACTTTGCCCAAAGAAAAGATGCTGAATTTCCTTACGTTTTACTCATTACTTCAGATATCTGAGATTGGGAATCATTCTGGTTGCTGATCTCTGTGTTCTCTCAAAGGCAATATATCTTTCTGATAATTAGAAAACTTAAAGTCTGGATGGTACACCAGAATGAGGTCTAATGAATACCTCATGGAACAAGCCAGGATCTGATTTGTATTAGTATTAAAACGCTATCACCAACAGATATTAATTTATACTTACAGGTTGGCCGACAATTCCAGGAGGTCCAGGATAACCAGGCAGCCCTGGACTACCCTAAGGAATTAAGAAAAAACACAGTCAAGAAGACTATAAGCAAATAGTTGAGAGCAGGAATCGCTGACAGTGATCAGAATTGGCAACCTTATGTGATTTTGAATCAGCCTCAGCCTAGAGACACTGACACACAGTGATACAAAATCTACTAACCCAGAGCTGGCTGATAGTGTTTGATCTTGCAATGGTTTGTACCACACAGGACAGACACTATATTCATCCATTGATCTAAGCTAAAATTGAAACAACCCATAATCAATTTGAAGTCAAAGAATCTGTTGAGCCCCTGAAAAGATATTTCTATCACTTGGACCCTTCTGCTATTGACTACCTTAAATGAGGGGAGCAGACATTGATCTTATAATCACTATAAAATCTAATAGACATTGTGGGAATAATGATTGTCTAAGCTGTTATAATTTCCTGAGGTTTGCTCTTTAAACAAAGCTGTTTGGCATTCATATTCACCATCACTCAACTTCAAAAGAAGTATGATTCAACAGTACTCTCCTTTTAATTTCACCCGTCTCCTAACCCAGGCAAAGTTTGCTTTCCTCCTTTTTAATTTCTGAAGGTATGATCATTTTCATTCCCTACGGCAGACAGCCTATCCTATCTGTTTGTGCCTGACAAAGTAGAATCTGGACAACAGTCTAGCTTTGCTGAAGATGCTAAAGTAAAACATAGTGAGCCACAGAATCACAAAGTTGAGCAATTCCATCGCGAATTCTGCTTAATGCATACCTTAGTTTCAGAAGGAGGTTTACTTTTGATACAAAGTTTAGAAAAAGATAGGCAGATGGATTAGTTTATATGATTAACAAACAATTTAAAATAAATTACCTGCTCGCCTTTTTCACCAGATGAGCCAGGCAAACCGCGATCTCCTTTACTGCCCTAATGAATGAGGAAGAAGGGCAGCAGGGTGTTAGATATTGGCTTTGAATGTAGTAATATTTCTGCATTAAGTGGGTAATAAAAGATTGAGACTATTGTTGGTTTAGAATGCATCCCTTTACTTCTGGCTGGCACCACAATGAAAGTGATTTGTACAAATTATATCTGCTGTGGTTAAGTAGATAGGGTCACAGATCAACAGTATGCAGATATTTTGGTGTTGTGAAATCTTACCAAAGCCAGCTACTGAGGTTGAAGAAATAAACACCCCTCCCAATGAAGAAAGGTGAATGGAATTTGGCTTGTTCTATTCAGAGCAGAGAAAAATATCAACTGCAAACTGAAAATTTCAAGACAGTGAAAGGACTGGACATTGTTCTGGGCTGGGGGAGTGGGGGAGTGAAGAGCAGCGGTTACAGGTTAGTGGGGATGGGAAGAGTGTGTGTGTGTGTGTGTGTGTGTGTGTGTGTGTGTGTGTGTGT